GGCCTGTACCCTCTCGCAATCCAGGACCCCTCAGGGGATGTTGGAGAGCTGGTTTTGGCCCGATCACGCAGGCCAGCCCAAGGGACCCCCGACTGGTGCACAAATTCATGCACCGGGCCTCTAGTCAATGATGAGAGAGAATCATTGATTGGCTGCCTCCTGTACACTCCCTACTGGAGATGGAGCCCACAACCCAGGCATGTGCCTTGACTGAGACTCAAACCTTGACCTCCTGATTCATAGGCTGATGCTCAACCACTGAGCCATGCTGGCTGGGCCCATTGTGTTATTTCAATAGTTATAATAGAGCTTGAGAGTTAAGGCAATAGAGCTTGAGATTTAAGACTGTTACCTCTGGAGGCAGACTACTTGGACAGTCTAACATGTATGACCTCGATGCTTCAATTTACTTATTAAAAAAAAAGTTCCCACTTCATATGGTTCTTGTGAGGATTAAATAAGTTACTTTTCATAAGGCTCTTTTGAACAACAGTGGGTAGTACAATATAACTGTCACTACCAAGCTTCTTGTAACAACACTTAGCATCTAGCACAAAGCTACGAGGAAATGACCAAGAAATGGCAGTGCATTGAAACTGTTCAGTTTGCTATGGGAAATAAGCCTAATGGCCATCTGGCAGTTTTATTAATGCCAACTGTATACAGATGTAGAGACGTCACAAGACACAGAAGACAGAAAAAAGAGTTTTAGCAGAAGCAGTAGAGATTAGTCACTATACTAGGATCTGTGGCAATACTATAATAGAAAAGCTACTCTTAGAGAAAAGAGAAAAAGACATGAAGGGCCCAAAACGGAAAATGAAAAGGCAGTAGTGCACCAGTTTTTTCCATTCATCAATATAGGGAATAGGCGATAGAGAATCTTCATCATACAAAGCAGTATATCTCTTTATTTCATTAAACTAAATTCCTTGAAGAGATGTACCATGTCTTCATCATCTCTGCATTACCCATAACACCTAAACATAAGCAGTAAATAATATGCCAAGTTAAATTCAGTAAGTCTTACTGATTCTTAAGTAATGGTAACAAGGATAATGTGCCATGATTAATAATTCAAAAGGCCAGAGATATTCCAAAGTTAGGTGCTGAAGTAATCATGTACATCGGAATAAGAAATATTGGCATCTGCTAAAAACATCCCAAATTCTTACTTGTTGCTCAGACTTGATTTCAGGGATCTTTTCTTCAGGAGTCTTTATTTCAGTATCCTTTAAGTCACTCACAGCACATGCTTCACTCACATCTGACATTGTACTTAATGTACTGTCAGAAATGCTCACACCATCTTCATTGTAGAGGTGACGGATCACCACAGCTTTCTTCTGCCCAGAGAAAGCTATGTCAGAGCTGCTTCAGTGTTTCCCTCATACACAGCCACTTTGCAAAAGAACATCTTATCTTCCCTTTCAGATTTATAAAAGCTTAAATTACCACATATAATGTGTACATAAAACATTAATTAAGCTATTATTTTATGAGTGGTGATGAAATTGTGGTTATGATATTTTAAAGCATTCTTATATATTAGAATATTGAAATATTTCTTCAACGATGTCAGCTTTTGTTTCAAACTGTTTCAGGTTTTGGAGAAAGATGTTGGGAAAACTGGTTATAATAAAGATGAAACAAGATGAGCAAAGAGTTAATAAATTGCTGAAACTGGGAATGAGTACTTTTGTAAGTATTTGAAAGTTACTTTAAAAACAATTTCATCATAAAATAGGTTACCACATAATTCACGTAAATAATCAAGAACTGACTCTGTGAATAAGACGTCACAATTTTTAAAAAATTAAACCACAAAATATCAGACGTTTAGCTAATGATTCAAACTAACTAACAACAAAGGGAAAGTCCTGAGAGTAAGGACTTATTCAGCCACAGGTGCTGAGCAGATAAGGGCAGGGAAGCTACCTATCAACAAAGAGAAGATATTCAAAACACTACCCCAAACCAGAGTATAGGTTTAGGAACTACCAATCATTGGATTCTTCACAATCCTGATAGAGAAATATGAACACAGATTAATGAAACCACATAACTTATAATGGCATGCTCTATTTATGTTCCCATGTTGTTATAGGAAGACTATATATATAATTAGGAGTAACTACTCATGAGCACATAATATAACCTTCCTAAATCATTGCTATTCTATCTAGGAAACAAGGCAGAAATAAGAATTAGAAATACAAAGAGAAAGTTTGTTCCATTCTACACTTCTACCCTCTTCCTTTTGGAATATTCCCCAGATAACGTGATATGCATTGCTAACAAATCCTTACGGTATAACACCTAACTAGAATGTTTTAACCAGCTGCTAGCTAGAAAAGTGAGCTTGTACATTGGATTAGTTAGGTAGGTAGCTGTATTTTCTGACCTTTCCTGAAGTCATGAACCTGCCAGTGATATCAATGCCAACAGATTCTGCAGATGACTTCTCGCTGCTTGAACAAGGTTCTGACTTAACAAAATTGACTTTCTTTTTTTGTAGTGAGGGAGTCTAAAAAAAAAAAAGTATTAAGATGTAAAAAGTTTTGTGTAAAAACATGATGTACTAGTATATTTAAATTCTATTATCATTTAAATTTTATATATAAAATATGACTGTCAAATAATGAGTCTAAATGCCATATATTTTGAAAACTAAGAAGTGATGAAAATGTACTGTTTTAACTGTTAGTTTAGGACCAGTAGCTCCAAGTTGCAAATGTGCAAACACAAGTGACTAGTATTTAAAGCAAACACCAGGTATTACAAGGTTACACAAATCTTTGAATAATGCAGTAATTATGCTATGTATTAATTTGCTGTCTAGGGTATTGATTTTATACATTAAAATACTGGCCACTCAGCCTAAGTTAAAATCTGTAAGAAAATTACCTTATCAAGACCACTCAACTCCTTGTGCTTTTTCATCACACAGTTCAAAATATCACAAATAATTTGGATTTTCCATTCTGCAAATCCACATTGGAGAAACTGCTTTTTCGTCAAGATTGGTTTATAGTTAAATTGATCACGAAGAAGCTATGAAGAGGGAACAGATCAACAAAATACTGGGAACAATCTCTTTCAAAAATCTAAAATAATAAATGGTCACCTGGTTAGGGTGGCCTTTTATTTAAAAGGTATAAAGAGATTTATGACCAGGTAGCAGAGGTATCTAGGTAAAAACAGGTAAGCGAGGGATGTACCAAAAATAGATGGCTGTCCAGAGAGATGGAAAAATAAACCCAATGATCCTAATAGGCACTAGAAATGCTCCTTAGCTCACTCCATACCAGATAAGTCAGGAAACCATAGTTTTATTGTGTTTATACTTCTTCCACTATATGATTTTTTTAGACAAGTCAGTAGGCCTCTGAGTTGCAATTTCTCATTTGTAAAATGAGAGAAATAGACCAGACCAGTAATTTCCAAAACCTACTCTTGAACCCTAAGATTTCTTGGAAGTGCCTCTTAGGCTTCCTCTTAGGCTTCCACAGAAGTTTTCTGGGTGAAAGATAAAGAAAGGGAAGATTAAACAGAGACTCTACACATAAAAGCTCCTATTTTATCAAATGCAACTTATTACTTAAAAAAGAAAAAATTTGATTTGATAAATGGGTTTTACCTTTTCTAAAAAAGCTTAAGAAAACTAGAGTACTTGAGCAAAAATTAATGATTATAAGTAGGGTTTTTAAAAAACTAAGTATGAGATTAAGTGCATAATAAATAATACAAGTGTAAATACTAGGGTAGATATAAGACATGGTCCTAGACAACAAGGCACATAAAATCTCAGTCAAAGCTCTACAAACAACTAAATTAACTCATAATTCTATACATCACCAACTTTACTCAATAAAACCACATTTCTCTCTAACTTCTGCCAGCATACCAAATTTTACTAAAATTTGTTGTAAAAATGGCAAATGATACCAATGACAAACGTTTACCAGTTGTCATATTTAATAGAGTATGAAACATAAAGCAAACTTCAATTACATCTTGATTGCAATAAGGATTACATTTAAATGTGGTAAATGCATATGAAAATACTGTCAACTATACATGCTGCATATATTTAAGAAATTATTATAAAAACATTAATCTGAAAAAACCACTGATGACTTCTAAAACAATTATTTCATAAACTCAAACATACCTTATAGACGGTATCTATAAAGCGCAAGTCATTCTTTGCTATGAGCTCTACATTGGATTCCATCAGAAGTTCTGCTACATAAGGGGAATATGAGGTAAGAGAATAGCTGATGATGGGCAAAGATGCTGCTAAATCTCCCTTAATCAAACTGTTGGGGGGAAGAGGGGAAAGAAAAATATTTTCAATGAGCATAATTCCACAAAGTTGGAAAATCGGGGCAATATAAGAATTATTGTCAATAATTTATAACAATACTATAGCCATAATAAAGTGATGCACAAGACCCTTCATATTCTATCCCCAACACTAAATTAGTCTAGCTAAATTACTATGAAATTATATTACTTATTTGCTCAAACAATTATAATAGCTCTTTAATACCAATAGAAAATCTAGTACATTTGGTCTTAATAAAACAAATGTACCATCTTACAGAGCTCAAGTACACTGTATGCTCTTGCAAGCACTTGTTACCTTACCTTACCTCATATGCTTTTTACCACAAACTGCAAAAGTAAAATATTATGAATATGTTAGGTCAGAAAATTAGTCTCAAACTTTGAGAAGCAATCTCATCAAGTACTTATCTAGCCACAATTATGAAGCTAGAAATCAGCTTTAGTTTCAAAAAAGCTGGAAAATTCACAAATATGTTCATATTAAACAACACACTCCTGAAAAATCAGTGGATGAAAGAAAAAATAAAGATCTCAAAAGAATATAGAGGTAAAGTGAATACAAACACAATCTACCAAAACTTAAGTATAAAATGCAGGAAATGCAATTCTAAGAGGAAAGTTTAAGTTATAGATGAGAAAAACAGGGTTGGGATACTGTCACTAATCTGATCAGTATCTTCCCCTTGTATTAGGCCCCTTTGAAATCTGTACCTTATTAGTTTATGCTAATTCCTCCAGTCTAGAAAGGTATCCCACTTTTCTCTGCCTATTATTCATCCTCCATAAATCATTTGTCAGATACAGAGCTTTCCATGAAGCCATCCTCAATGTTCTGATCCGAATTTCTCTCCCGCAGAATGATTCCCTGGCTATTCAGTATCTGATGCCTCATGCCTGTCTTGTACTCTTGCCTAATTGTCTACACATATGAATCTCATTTTCTCCATGTGAAGTAATTTCACAGATTCTCCCACAACAAAGCACAGGAGAGGCCAGTTCAATTACTCAGTTATATTTGTTCAATTGAAGTAATAATGCACTTCTGTAAAACATTTGTTTTCCACAAGATTCAAGAGGTACATAAATCCCCCTATTCCCACCCCAATATTTTTAATAAGGCAGAGAGCAAGTATATGATGACAGCATTACAATTTTTCAGGACAAATATAAATTGTTTCTCTTTTATATTTATGGGTACAATAATATTTTACCCATGAGAAAACTGCTCTGGCAACCTTTTTTACCTGTACGACAGTTTAAAAAAGACATACACAAAAAATGCTTTTGAACAGCAAAATCTGTCCCATTTTATGCATGTTATGAATAGAAGACAGCCAGATCTGCATTTAACATCTCATATAAAACAACCTCAAAAATCTTGGTTATTTATTGCCTAAGAACTTTGATTAGAAACAGTAAGAAGAACAGGTATTATAAACTGGCACACCAAAACAAAAAACAGCAAATCACAAGAAAAAATTTTAAAATGGGAAAAAGTAGAAAGAATCAAAATACGTGTATCTGAGGCTGTGTGTGTATGTGAGGGTGGTAATCTGAAGCAGCAACGAGTAGCATTACAGACCTTGCCAATATTATTATATTATGAAACTAGAGGCCCGGTGCATGAAATTTGTGCACGGGAGGGAGGGGGTCCCCTCAGCCCAGCCTGCAACCTCTCCAATCTGGGACCCCTCGGGGGATGTCCGACTGCCAGTCAGGGATCGGGCCTAAACTGACAGTCGGGCAGCACTCTCACAATCTGGGACCACTGGCTCCTAACTGCTCACCTGCCTGCCTGCCTGATCGCCCCTTACTGCCCCCCCTGCTGGCCTGGTCACCCCCAATAACTAACCCCCCTGCCAGCCTGGTTGCCCCCAACTGACCCCACAACCGTTTTGGTCGCCCCACACAGCCTGCTGTTTGGTCATTTGGTCACCCCTCACTAACCCCCCTGCCAGCCTGGTCGCCCCACACAGCCTGCAGCTCAGTCATTTGGTCGCCCCTCATTAACCCCCCTGCCAGTCTGGTCGCCCCCAACTGACCCCATAACCAGCTTGGTTGCCGCACGCAGCCTGCTGCTCAGTCGTTTGGTTGCACCATGCTGCCCCCCCTGCTGGCCTGGTTGCCCCATGCAGCCTGCTGCTCAGTCGTTTGGTCGCCCCTCACTGCCCACCCCCGCCAGCCTGGTCACCCACAGCTGCCCTCTCTGTGGGCCTGGTCGCCCCATGCAGCCTACTTTCGGTTGTTTGGTTGCCCCTCACTAACCCCCCAGCCGGCCTAGTCGCCCCATGGAGCCTGTTCGGTCGTCCGTTCGGTTGCAATGGTTGCTTAGGCTTTTATTATTGTAGATAATCTAAAAAATGATTGTTTTTAATGACACTCTTGGGTCAATAAGAAAATCAAATGTTTAAGCAGTGTACTCAGAAGAAAGGAACATAATCAGTATCTTTTAAAATTATTCCTATACAAATGTCTTTAAAATGTTGATGGTAGTCCTAACAGTTTGGCTCAGTGGATGGAGTGTCGGCCTGCGGACTGAAGGGTCCCAGGTTCAATTCCGGTCAAGGGCACATGCCTGGGTTGGGGGCTTGATCCCCATTAGAGGGCATGCAGGAGCAGCCAATCAATGATTCTCTCTCATCACTGATGTTTCTCTCTCTCCCTTCTTCTCTGAAATCAATAAAAATATATTAAAATAAATTTTAAAAAATGTTGATAATTAAGGTGGTAAGAAGAAAACTTGGCTATTCAAACTGGTTAAGTCCCGGCAAGACCAGACAGTAGAGATTTCCCTCTTTTGAACAACCAACCTATTGGTATATGCTATGGAAACATACTATGGAATACCTTCTGTTTCTCATATATAATACCTGTGACAATAGTCATTAGAGCTCAACTTTCTCCTTGCTCTCCTTACTCTTCTTTCATTTGCAGCCATTTCTTAGTGTTAACTCTCCTTAGTATACATTCAGAACTTCTATTTTTATATATAAAGCCCATTACTCCAGAATTCTACTTAGTAGTTGGTTTAGCCAAGACTCACTCTACCACTTGACAATGTAGCTAATCTGGAGTTGTCCCTTGACACTCATTGAATAAATGTTTAATTAGCTTCTAATATGTGCCAGGCATCATTCTAGATAAGGGGATACTACAATGAACAAAACTAAGTACTAGCCCTGCCTGGTGTAGCTCAGTTGGTAGGGCATTGTCCCATGCACCCAAAGGCTGCCTGTTCAATTAATAGACAGGGCACATGCCCACATTGCAGGCTCGATACCCAGTAGGGAGTGTGCAAAAAGCACATTCTCAATGTTTTCCTCTCACATTGGTGCTTCTCTCTCTCTTTGTCTTTGTCTCTCTCTCTCTCTCTCTCTCTCTCTCTCTCTCCCTAAACTCCAACAAAAAATATTTTCTAAAAAAACAACAAAAACTAAGTACTAGATATCAACTTACTTCCCAGAAGGGGAAATATCAATGAATATCCTAGGTAAGAATAGATGTATTAGGGCAGTGATGGCGAACCTATGACACGTGTGTCAGAGGTGACACGCAAACTCACTTTTTTGGTTGAGTTTTCTTTGTTAAATGGCATTTAAATACATAAAATAAATATCAAAAATATACATCTTTGTTTTACTATGGTTGCAAATATCAAAAAAATTCTATATGTGACACAGCACCAGAGTTAAGTTAGGGTTTTTCAAAATGCTGACACGCCGAGCTCAAAAGGTTCACCATCACTGTATTAGGGGATAGAGGGTGACAGGAATACCGTATTAGATTGGCATGAATATAGAAGAAATGTATGTTGCTTTGCTACAACCTACAAAAGCAAGTCAGTCATATTGGGAAAGTGGAAACTAGCGCAAAATGTCCAAATGTGGGGTCTGTTATATGAGTTAGCTTAATAATCTTCAGGCAAGGTATAAGTGGTCATAAGAAATCTATTAAGTAGAATCTTCCAAATAATAAAGAAATACTATCCAACTAGATGTGAGAGGATGGTAAGTCACATAACTAATGAATTCATTACATTTCTACGAGTTTAAAAGTTGTACAGAGACCATACCATATATGAACGTATATTTTGCTGCTACTTCTTTTTTTTTTTTCAAAAAAAAATATACTTAAATATATTTTTATTTATTTCAGAAAGGAAGGAAGAGGGAGAGAGAGAGAGAAAAATCAATGATGAAAGAGAACCATTGACTGGCTGACTCCCGCATGCCCCTGACTGGAGACTGACCAGAATCGAACCCGGAGCCCTTCAGTCTGCAGGCTGAGGCTCTATCCACCGAACCAAACCAGCTAGAACTCAAAATATATTTTTATTGATTTCAGAGAGGAGGGGAGAGGGAGAGAGAAAAATATCAATGATGAGAGAAAATCATTGATCAGCTGCCTCCTGCACAACCTGCACTGGGGATAGAGCCCGCAACCCAGGCATATGCCCTTGACCAGAATCAAACCCGCAACCCTTCAGTCTGCAGGCCGGCGCTCTATTCACTGAGCCAAGCCGGCTAGGGCTTTGATGCTACTTCTAAAAGGTGATTTAAATCTCAAGTTAGACTTTAAAATTCATACTTAGAAATAAACTCTTGTAATTCCCCACTTTCTAAAATATTTTAATCATTTCTAGGAAAATTATTAAAGTGCCCAGATAAAATCAGTGTCTTTATTTAGATACTCCCCCATGTCAATTATATCAAATCATTACCAAAAGACTACAAATACGCTTTATACCCTAGCTTACCCTACACAATCCACTTCTTGAGGATAATTTAGCGAGCGAAGCATTTGTTCTAGGTTCCGTAAGCTTCTTTTCAAGTCGCCTGTTGCCATTATTTAACATTACATTCAGCTCCAGCTTTTGAAATAATCTAATATTTCACCTAAAAGTAAAAATTTATAAAACAATTAAGTCTGTGTATTTTTGAAGCTTCTCTATTCTATTTTGTTCACATATCCTATTTTGTTCACATCTCCATACTTACCTTGGCTTAGCTATTTCTCCCCTAACTTATCTTCCTTACTAGTCTAGTATTGCCTAGTATTTATCTCACATTCCTGAATATAAGGTGTGTTTTTCCCCCAATATTTTTTCCTTATAAAAAAAAGTTTGCTTTATATTCACGTTTTTGAAATGTGTCTCATATATGATACTCTCCCAGATACTTTATTTTGAACAACAAAGTACCATTTGAGAAGACACATCAATCTGAAATAGTCTACATCAAAGACTATTTTGGATGCTCATGAAGGATACATTTAAAAAAATCAGTAAAAAATGGAGACAGAATAAGCACAGATTTAGTCATAATTTCCAGAGTTCTGACCTCACCCAGTTGCCAATAAGATGCTTTAGTTAAAAAAACAAGTGATTAAAAACCACATATCCTCACCAGGGCAAAAAGAACTATAGGGATTCCATGACAGAAGAGTTATCAACAAAATATTGGAAGATGGAAAGCAGATGGATGAGTAACAGCCAACCTAGCAGAGCACAGACTGGCCAATCCCATCTATTTAGGAGAAAACCAACAGCAGCAACATAGGTTCAGAAATGAGGGGACCCTTACAGTTCTGCAAGGGGTAAGGCCAAGGGGTATTGAAATAAGGATGATTATATGAAAGTTTATATATAAGGAGCTGCTAAATACTAGTTTTTCACTTCCCTTCCTGTCTCTGACACATAACTTGCTCAACTGGGCAACCAGCTGTCTGTACCCCTGGGTTTAACTGTCCTCTAGCTTGTTTCATGTGTGTGTGTGTGTGTGTTACACACACACACACACACACATATACATACTAGAGGCCTGTTGCATGAAGAGATTCGTGCAATAGGCCTTCCCTTCCCTTGGCTGCTGGCACCGGTTTGCCTCTGGCACCCGGGACCCAGGCCTTCGCTCTGGCCGGAGCCAGCCCCGGAGCCATCCGGCTTCGCTGCTCCGGCCCCGGGGCTGTCTGGCTTTGCTGCTCTAGCCCCGGGGCTGTCAGGCTTCACTCCGCCACTTGGAGCCTACATATGCAAATTAACTGCTATCTTCGTTGGGTTAATTTGCATACTCTCCTGATTGGCTGGTCATTGTAGCGAAGGTGCGGCAATTTACATTGTCTATTATTAGGTAAGATACACACACATATATATACACACACATACACATATATATACACATATATATATATGTGTGTATGTATATATATGTATATATATGTGAATTAATTCTGATACTTGAATTAAACAATTAAGTAAGTGGATGACTGAATAGTAGCAGCTACGTTCTCTCAATGCTGGAGTGAGAATTTACTGATAAGCAAGGGGAGGAGACAAGAATAAGCCATGCCTAATGGATTAGTTAGAGACATCAGTATGAATTTATGTTTAGCTTAATATAGATACAGATAGTTGCATATTGAAATATTTATAGATATATAGATATAGACAGCTTAGTATATACACATCTATTTCCGCTCTCTGCCAGCTGAAAGTGACTAAAAGCAATGACACCCCAGTAGCAAAGAGCACACATGGCATCCAGATCTTGGTGTGTAATACCATTCTCCAATAAAAGAAACCAGGGCTCCCTGGAGAAAAGACCAATTGTAGAACTGGGGCAGGAAATATGTAAAATGAACCTGAAGCATTATGTAGTTCCAGAAAGTAAAAACTACACACAAAACAAACAAACCAATCCAACATTGATGGGGGTATATCAAAAGGGCACAGGAGCCAAATGAAATAGCTCCCAATGGTCAAAGTTAACACACGTTGCACAATAAAATTAATGAAGTAGTATGAAATTATTATCTACTCTAATAAAAGACAAAGATGCTAATTGACCATACCTTCGCTATGCCCACCAGCCAATCAGATGAGTATGCAAATTAACCCAACAAAGATGGCGGTTAATTTGCATACACAGGCGCCCAGCGAAGACTGAAGACAGTGTAGAAGGAAGCCAAGTACTGCAGAAGGGAGCCAAGCGGCGGAGAAGGGAATGGAGAAGGGAATGGGTCAGAGATAGCAGAGACGAGAGCGGAGCTGAGGCAGTGGACATGGGAGGGAGGTGAAGCAGAGGACACGGAGGGAGCCGAGGTGGCAGAGAAGGGAGGGAGCCGAGGCGGCAGAGACAGGAGGAAGCTGAGGGTGAAGTGGCGAAGGGAGGGAGCGAGGCAGCGGAGAAGGGAGCGAAGCCCGCCTTGGTGGGCTTTGTTCCCTTCTCTGCTTCACTCGGGTCTCAGGAAGCCCTATTCTTGCAGGAATCTTCCTGCAACGGGCCTCTAGACCAAGGTATAAAAAAGCAAAACAAAAAAATCAATCAGTATAATTCAATACATTAACAAATAAAGGAAAAAATAATAATTTTAATACATGCAAAACAGGCATTTGCTAAAATTCAACACCCATTTATTTTATAATTCTTATGACATTAGAAATAGAACTGACTGCATTTGATAAAGATCATCTACAGAAATCTCTTGTAAACATCATACATCATAATAGTGAAATACTGAAAACTTGCTTCCTGAGATTGGGAATGAGGCGAGCTTACCTAGTCTCATCATTTCTATTCAACATTGTACTAAAGGTGGTAGACAGTACAAAGGTGCAAGAAAAAGAAGTAAAAGGAATGAAGACTAAAAAGGAAGAAATAAAAATGTCACTATTCACAGACAACACAACTGTATATGAAAAAAAAAAAATAAGTGAATTTAACAAGGTTGCTGGATAGAAGGCCAATTGTATTTCCCTGTATTCCACAAATAATTAAGAGGTGTTTAAAAATTATGTATGTATAAATAACTCACTATAGCCTCAATAAATAACCATAAACATGTGAATAAATCTGGAAAATATATGTAAGACCTCAAAACAAATAACTCATAGAACTCTAGTGAGATATATTAAAGTAGCCCTAAATAGAAGAGATGTACACATTGATCAAGGATTGGAAGACTCAGCCTTAATCGGATTGGCTCAGTGGATAGAGCATCGGCTTGCAGACAGAAGAGTCCCAGGTTCGATTCCGGTCAAGGGCATGTACCTTGGTTGAGGGCACATCCCCAGTGGGGAGTGTGCAGGAGGCAGCTGAATCGATGTTTCTCTCTCATCAATATTTCTAACTCTCTATCCCTCTCCCTTCCTCTCTGTAAAAATCAATAAAATATATTTTTTTTTAAAAAAAGGATTGGAAGACTCAATATATATTGATCCATAGATTTAATGCATTCCCTCGCCCTACCCCCCAAAAATACCTGTAGTTTTTCATAGGTGGACATTATTCATAGGTCTAAAATATATATAGAAATGCAAAAGAAAAGAAAAACTATCAAGATAAAATTTGGAAGACTTAACGACTAGATATCAAGATTCAGTATAAAGTGAAATTTGGAATAAGTGAAAAGATGTACAAATAGAACAATGGAACAGAATACAGTCCAGAAACCAACCACTGACACTAAATTTATGACAAACTTGATGCTGAGTAGCCCTGGAGAAAGGATGGTCTTTACCTATAAATGATACTTTGTCAATTGAATATCCAGATGGAATAAATAAAACTTGAACCCCTGATGTAAAGGGTACCTTACATCCTTCACAAATTAATTTCAGGTTTGTTGAAGATCTAAATATAAAATATAAGACAACCAGATTTTCTGGAGATCACAGAAGAGAATAATCTTTATGAACTACAGGTGCAGAAGAATTTCTTATCTTATGATTGATAAAATGAAACACATTAAAATTAGTAACTTCTGTTCCTCAAAAGACACTTTACATAACAGAATATGTATTTATATATGTTTGTGCAGCAAAATACATGAAAAATATTTTTTAACATATTTTTATTGATTTTCTACAGAGAGGAAGGGAGAGGGATAGAGAGCTAGAAACACCGATGAGAGAGAAACATCGGTCAGCTGCCTCCTGCACACCCCCTTACTGGGGATTGCCCGCAACCAAGGTATATGCCCTTGACCAGAATCGAACCTGGGACCCTTCATTCCGCAGGCCGACGCTCTATCCACTGAGCCAAACTGGTCAGGCAAAAGACACCTTTAAGAGAGTAGAAAGATAAGCCATTGAGTGGGAGATGATGCTATCATACATGTAACCAACAAAAAGAATCATGTCTAGAGTATGTAAAAAAATTCTTACAAAATAATAAGAAAAGAATGATAACTCAATAGAAAAATGGGAAAGAGATCTGATCAGGAATTTGACAGAAGGGTAAACATGTGAAAGGACACTCAATCAAATTAATTATTAAGAAATTACAAAGTAAATAAAGAAATCTGAAATCTACAGAATTCTGTGAAAGAGTATATTAGTGTTACTTGGCAATATCTGCTAAAAGTGGTATACATAAGGCCTATGAGACAGAAATACTAATTCAAAAAATTTACATAACAGAATATGTATTTATATATGTTTGTGCAGCAAAATACATGAAAAATATTTTTTAACATATTTTTATTGATTTTCTACAGAGAGGAAGGGAGAGGGATAGAGAGTTAGAAACATCAATGAGAGAGAAACATTGATCAGCTGCCTCTTGCACACTCCCCACTGGGGATATGCCTGCAACCAAGGTACATGCCCTTGACCGGAACTGAACCTGGGACCCTTGAGTCCGTAAGCCGACGCTCTATCCGCAGAGCCAAACTGGTTAGGGCCACATGAAAAATATTTGACATTTTAAATAAAATGGTTCACTCTTTTAAAATCCCAAAGAAAATAATACCATAGGATTATATTTTTAAATGACTCATGTGGTAGGGCTTTTGTTCGATTCTCCAAAGAAAAGGTTATTCCCTAAGGAGGTCATAAAATAAACACATTTTTATAAATAGTTAAGAACCTTTGCTAGGAAGAGATGAAAGAGATATAGTTTACCTAAACTATAAGTCTAGTCAACCAGTAAGGCAAAGCACAATAACACTTAAAAATATCTACTTGTAACTGTACATGGACACTTCATAGAAGGAAAATCTATATATATAAAAGTCTAAGCGACAGAATGACCAAACCACCGATCGACTGGCCACTATGATGTGCACTGACCAGCAGGGGGCAGATGCTCAATGCAGGAGCTGTCCCCTGGTGGTCAGTGTGCTCCCACAGCCAACCTCCTGTGGTCCCCCCCCCCAGCCAGCTGGCCCTAATGGCCCAGATCGGGCGGCAGGACAACCTTCCCCAGCCCCTACCCCCAGCCAGCCAAACCTTCTGCGGCCCCGATCATCCTGACTGCTGGCCAAGCCAACGGATCCCACCTGTGTATGAATTCGTGCACTGGGCCTCTAGTAACATATAACAATACCTTGAGTAATGAATCTTCAGGAATGAAGCTTCTTTAAAGTGAAGCCATTGACATTAAAAATAAAACAGAACAATTCATAAATTGGGGGAAGTAGAGTTAGCATGATCTTTCCCCCAGTCAACCTCCCAACGGTTACCCAGGATACAAATCATCTCTCTACACACCTTCTAACTAGAGGCAATAAGGCTAACAATCTGCAAAATCCTAAATTTAGTAAGCTTTCTAGTTTAAGCTCCTAGGCATTCCATTCTGAACCTTTTCTCTGTTTTAGGAACACAGTATCTTCCTGATCCAAGTCTCCTCTCCTTTATCAATATGGTAAAGAACAGGTTATTGACTATATTTTTTACACTCATGCATGTGTTTTAGTCACTATTTTTCAGCCAATCAATTACTTCAACTAAGCATTTACATTTTTAGGCAGGAGGAATTTCGGGTACTGTCAAATGGGAGATAACTAGAAAAGAAAGGAAGTACTCCTCAAATCACATTGTACAAAATACTGGCCGAAAAGGCAAATCTTTTTTAACATCGTTTAGGATGATTGGGGATCAACAGATATATGGAAGAAGAGAGATGAATTCGTGCACTGAGCCTCTAGTAACATATTAACAATACCTTGAGTAATGAACACGACCAGCCTTTACTTTCCAGGAAAAGATGAGGAAGTAACTAAGCTGGCAGTAATTGTCATTGGCCATTATAGAAGGTCTGAGGTTAAGTTCCAGACACATCTATTTTAACACAATTCTTCCTGGAGCACCTTTTCCCCTCAGACATCCTATAACTTTAATATACATTGTATTTCTTCCCACAGACTTCCTTTAATCCTGTATATTCCATCTTTCTAGTACACGGTCATTTCATTTCATTTAACACTTTATGGTATCTATTCCATCTTTCCCTTCTCTGTAGTTCTGGAACATATATCAATGTCTCATTATTTCTACCTCTGGTAATGGAATTTCTGACCACAAAGTATGTCCCTGGAACACATCATCTTCAGTACCAGCGGAATCAATATTTTGAAGAAGAGTAAGATACAAGTACAGCTTGGATCTGTAGGTGGAGATAAGTGATAAGAACAGAATAAAAAAAAATAAAGGGATACAAAACGTGAAATCATAGAAAAAAGTATAGTTGCTGCTCTATAGTTTCATGAAAGGCTTGACTGAGTCTACTACAAGATTAAAAATTAAGATATTAAAAAAGTAAATCTCGAACTTATGCACACTTTAACATACTTTCAGAGATGAAAAATAACTAAAAAAAATAACATTTACACTTTATAACCCGTATCAAAGGAAAGTAAAAGAAGATATTACTCAGCTTGTAGCATGGATCCAACCATTAAGATGGTCTCAATATTGCTTCCTAGCTTCCTCCAGAGAGCTCTCTCTGCAAGTCAGATCTGCCCAATCCAACCCCATTTTCAATCGAGCGAGAGATCATGGCTGTTGGAGGTCATGCAAGGATGCCTCCCAATGGAATGCCATTAAACTCAGAGGGATTTTTGATCAAAATGAAGCAACTACACTGACGACAGCGATTGCGGTTGATGACTTAAGTTTGTGACATTGCTCATAATGCTAGATATTATCTAAAAACCGTGTATCAAAAATAGAGGAGTAGAAAGAGGAAAAGTTTAAGTTTATAAAACTTTTCACAAAAAAATATTAGGGAAATACTGTTCTAAGAGAGACGGAGAAAGGGCTGAGAGAGAAAACATTGAGAAAATGGGGGGGGGGTGGTGGAACAAGGGAAGTAAGGGACAAGTATAGACAGAGTTCAGTAGGATTGTCCTGTTCACATATAAAACTGTTGAAAGGTTTGGACAACTTTAGAAAAACAGGTTAACACAGACCTAATTCCGGAATCAAAACGTCAAGATTGATTTTTTTTTTCGTAGTGAGGGAAAAATCAATAGTCTCCTAGGAACATGGAAACATATTGAAACCCCAGGGACATGCAAGCAAGGAACACATGCACTACTTTTCATCTCTCCCCTCCAGTCAATATTTCCGAGGAGCTCAGCTCAGGATACAACAGGAGGGAGCAGCCTATCACTTCGCTACCGTAAATCACAACCGAATCCCAGAGGATGCGCTGCCACGGTTCTTCGCTGTCACGAAGGGACGTGCGCAGTTGGGTATACTATAGGCAAGGCACGTCTAGGGGCTCTCCTCCCTCCACGAGATTTAAAAGGACGAAAAGACAGACCTGGTCATTCGCTCCCACTCGGGGCCTCGGTCACGGCATCAGAGAGAGGACACCTCAGCCCAGTCTAAGGGGCAGCCTCGCCAGCTCCTCGGTGCTCCCCCAGCAGCCGCGGAGCCAAGAAGCGGACTCCGAAAGGGAGTGGGGTGGAGGGGTTCCTATGCAACCAGCCCAGCCGCCAGCAACAAATCCGGGCGGCCGCACCCCCGCGCCCGGGCGCGTTTCTCGCGCCGACCGTTTGTATCTGCAACAGCGGGTCAGAGCCCGCCACGCAGCGCGGCCCGACCTTCAGAGCGGCAGGCTTCCCACGCTCCGCGATTCCTCGCCGCAGATTCCACACCACGTTCGTCCAGACCCCCCGAGGACGCTGACTCTGCTGAGGGCCTTGTCCACAGCCAGTCCGATCCCAAGCTGCCAGAGGAGAAACTGTCCCCAGTTTTTGATGCTCGGAGTGGCTCGGGAGGCGAAGTGAGAAACGGGGAATCTGGAACGAATCGTCCACAACGGAGATAAAAATGCTTTTGCTTTAAGCCTCAGACCTCACACGTCACTTCCGGCAACAATAGGAAACGTCAAACCTCGGGCTGTCGGCAGCTCTCGCTGCTGCAGCTGGAGGTGCGCTCCGTTTGGAGGAAGCCGGGGCCGTTTCTGGGGTTCTCGCCGCCCTCACCCTCACCGGCGTGAACCAGGGACGTCTGGACCGGCTTCTCCAATGGCCTGGGTACCAGTTCCCGGCTGAGCTCTTTTCTGTTTGGCTAAAAGCCCCCGTCAAGAGGCCGAGTCGTCGCGGCGGCGGTGGGGATCGCAGGTCGCTCAGGTACCAGCGTCAGCCTAGATATTTCAGGGCTCTTGCTTCTTTTCCCTTCCACTCCCCCACTTTTCTTCTCGGAAATGAAGATAACTGGTGCTCGCTAGTTAGTAGAAACTTGCCAACCAGCAAGACTTTGGGACCAATGACAGTGCAAAGCTTCTTGAGTGACAGCGGTGACGGCTTATTAAAGTGGGGAATAAGGCGGTGTCAGCAGGCGGGAATAGGTGTGTTCCTGGGGTTTTCTAGGCCATTAAGGTCAGCCTGGGACCCTACGTAGTGACCCAACTTCATCCTGAAATAAAGCCGAGAAGAGGCGATGATTGTCCTCTTCTAACCCAAGTGTTGCTTTTCGAGCAAAGTAGGTTTTGTTTCCGTTGTGTGTGTGTTTTTTTTGCTGTTGTTGTGGCTTTTTTTTTTTTTGATGCATAAGCACAGTTTTCAGTTCTTTACATACTTTTCAGTAATATGAATGCAAACACAGTTAAAGTCACGATAGATTGCCAGTTGCTTCAGTTACCAAACTTTGGTTATAAATTTGAAAGCTTCTTCGTTTGTCCTCTTTTGTTTGATTCTCTGTGACTGGGCTTTAGTTTCTTATATGGTGGATGCTCAATGACATATTATTAATTGGATGGAGTAGCATAAATGATTCCTAATCCTCGGCCATTGAAGGTTTTCGTTGTTTTATTTTTAGGTTCTGTTTATGTTTTGTTTAGGTTTAGTAATTTAGTAACTGAGCGTGCTTGTTTTAACCAGTGGAATTTAGATTTTAAAGGATCCCAGGTGTTTCTGTCTAAATCAGTATATCATGATGTTTACCTACTGCAAGGTGGAGCTAATTTATGTTTTCCATTTCAATTTTTCTTCTCCCTCTTTTAATGTTTGGTGTTTGGTAACCTTATTTCTGAGGTAGAAACCCCCAACCCCCCACCTAAGAAAATGGTTTGCAAAATTGAGCAGAATGAAGAAATACATTTTTTTTCTATTTTTTCAGGTTGAGTAGGAAACTTCACATCTTTATCCAGTTAACTTGACAGTTTGTCTGATTAGATCCTTCATTAGTTATCCCTTGCTGAGTAACAAATTGCCCCCGAATTTAGCTGCTTGAAATAACAAGGATTTATTATATCAAAGTTTCTGTGGGTCATGAAACGCTCAGCAGAGCACCTCTGACTCATGGTCTTTCATGCAGTTGTGGTCAAGCTGTACATGGGGGCTGAGATGTCACCTGAAGATTCCACTGAGGGGGAGAAGGATCCACTTCCCAGTGCACTCGCCTTGTATTGGCAGACCTGGCTTTCCACCACAGGGGCTTCCCCACAGGGCTGCCTTGCAGCATAGCAGCTGGCTTCAATCTAACAGAGTCCCTAAGGCTCTCTATAGTCTTTTATAACCTGATCTCAGAAGTTTACCCCATCACTACTGCCATGGTGTTTGTTGGAAGTGAGTAAATAATCCAACCCAAAATCTATCTGGAGAGGATTACACAAGGGCTTACGTCCCAGGATGCAAGGATCTTTGGGGGCCATCTTAGAGGCTGCCTAACAGATACCCTGCCTGATAAATTTTAGGAGGTAATAGGAATAACTGAGTAGAAATGCAGTCAGACAAGGAGGAATGTCAGATTGTAAAGAAATAAACATATACAAGCCTTATCTCTCTTGGAAAAGTGTTTTGGTGTGTGTGTGTTTTTGTTTTTTTGTTGGGTTTTTTTGTCTCCTTTTTCCCCCCCTACTAATTATTTGAAGAGAGGCTCATTATTTTGCTTGGGAAACTGCCTGAGGGATGATGTGTGTCTGAGGAATGCTTGTGTTTTTTAAGGTCTCTGTGAGCAGAGCACATCACAGCTGGAGATTGTGTATTCCTTACTCATTGCCATGTTATATGGTTGAAATTGTATCAAAACAAACATGAGCAACGTTAGCTTTTAAGGAGGAAAGAAAAGATAGCAGGAAGCCTTCTGGTGTAGAAAGCAGGCAGATCAGTGGCAGTCTTTATGGGGGTATGAGATCAAAAAGGGATGGGGGAGAGGTATGTCCTAGAGTGGAACTGTATCTTGTATGTCTGTTTTTAAGCACTATTAGGTGGCAGGTACCACCTTTTCCAGCATTACCTGGATGTACCCTTACCAGCATAGCTTTTGTCAGGGAACCATATAAGTTTATCAGAAATTAAAGGTATAGACTTCAGGTTTTCTTGTGACACGATTTTGGCTGTGACCCACTGTAAAAATGTCTATGCTTCTTCCAAGTTTGAAAGATGTTGTAAATCCTTATCTGTAAGTAAAGTATTACTCAAGTTTATCTCTTATCCCTCAGGGGCTTAATACCAGCCTGATTGTGTCAATTCTCAGATTGTAAATTTGGCTTTTAAATTGGGGCTCCCTATCAGGTTAACATACTTCATTTATAGTAGTTTGGGGCCCTTAGATGGCTGCAAAATTTTAAACAGATGCTTACAAAAGTAACACAGTTGATGTACTTTCACCCATAAAATATCTTAAGGTAATAACTTCTAGATAAGCTAAAACATGAATTGTAATTTATTATGTATGATCAGTTTAATAGGGAATGTTTTGTGTGTGTGTTGTGCTTTGTGTAAACTAAAACATTGAATTGCCAAGAGATGACCTTTTTTATCATAGTACATTGAAATTAGTCATTCAGATTTATGATTTTATAGTTCATTGATGAGCCAACTGCTGTGTACACTATGTTTTTCTATATCTTCATTCGAATTTGGAAACAGACTAATGCCTTGGTTGGCCTGTGAAAATGCATCAAAATAATTAATATTGACAAGACACTGGGGAGTAGGGGAGGCCAGGGGAAAGTCAAGGGGGGGGGGGAGGAGACATATGTAATACTCTTTGTAATACTTTAAGCAATAAAAAATTTTTTAAAAAATTAATATTGAAAGTCTGTGAAATATACATCTAACGCATGATACTTTTTCATTGAAGTAGTTTACTTAAAATTTTAAAACAACTTTAATATCATACATCTACTTCTAAAAATTTATGTTCCCCATTTCTTTATTTTTTCTCATTATTTTGTTATTCTGACAAATTTATTGACATAGATTCCACACTAAAACTAAAATGTCCTAACTTGAGTAAGATTACATCATATTTGGGGCAAATACTTTTATGATATAACGATGAGGAAAGATATTTGTGGTTTCAAATTTAAGCAGCAGATTTAGGGAGTTTAGCTCTGTAATCAGCAGTTTGCATATTCTTCAAGAATAGGTCGCACAGGATTTCATAAACTGATTGAAAGAAGGAGCAAGATTTTAGCAAGTGAGTCATGCTTGGAGAACAAGCCCCTGGGCTCTTGCTGAATAGTGATTTGTAGAAGTCGTGAACATGGAAAAGAGAGATGGGAAAGGCAGATGCTAAATACACTCAAACACACATACATGCATCTGTCTCTATCACCTCTGCATTTTACCTTCTAAAAGAATGTTTTCTCATTTTATTTTTATAGAATCATAGAATTTTATAGCTAAAAGAGACCTTAGGGATCATCAAGTTCAAAATCCTTGTATTACAGGTGAGGAAACTGAGACTTTGAAATCTAAGTGACTTGCTCAGTACTTACAACTAGTCAAAGAAGGAGCCTGAATCAAAACCATGTTTTGTGTTGGAATCTTTATTATTAGATGTTTCTCATCTCATTTCTGATTTTCCTCCTATTTGGGGCTTCCTTTGATATTTATTTTATTTAATATATTGTTTGGTTTGTATAAAAGCAATTCAGTAAGAGTTATAGTCTTGGTTTTGTATTTAATTCCACAACTCTCATAGGAATGGCCATTGTGGTTGGTGGGCATAGAGTGCGGTATGTCCTGAGGAGGTGAGTTGGGATATGCAGCTGCTGATTATAATTGGGTTGAGTAAATAGTGTAGTCAAGGAAGAACCAGTGTAATTAAAAATAATGCTGGTGAGAAGTATGATAAATTTATTTAAAAGTTAAAACAGACAGTGGAACATTTTTTGGGGAAAAAACCTGAAGAAATTGAATAGGCACGCAGTTCTCAGCTTTTTGGTTACATTTAAATAACACATCTTAATTTTTACATTTGTTTAGATGCCATTTGGTAACACTCATTATAGAATCAAATTAAAGAACAGGAAAAAACCTCCAGAAAACAAAGTAATATTGTAAATCTTTGTGAATTAAAACTAGTACAACTGGTATGCCTTTTAGGAACAAAAACTGCTCTTGCAGGACCAGATCTTTAAATTTAATGAGTGGGGTTTTTTTTATGTGTTTAATGTACCCTGTGACCTCTTAGTACTTAGCTATTTCCCTTTTCTCCTTAGAAAGACCTCCTTGTGGACGGACCCTTCCTTCATTTCTCTACAGTTGTTGCCTTTCAATTTTAGAGGTGTGATTGGTTATCAGGTTTTTTCTTTCCTTTCCTTTTTTTTTTTTTTTTAATTCTCTACTCAGACTTTTCT